TCTCTGTTCTATGTATCGACTCAGGCAAGCGGGCTGGCCGCCTTGCTGACACTCTGTACTCACCTAGAGGTGCTGGCCTAGAGGTACTCACCTATTCCTCCCTCTCCACTGGGTCTTACCTATTCTGTTCCGTCTCCTCTGCTCTGCCTCTTCCATTTTCTTATCGTACGGCCCGTCCTATCTCTATCCTTCTCTTGCCTAACCTAATGTTTACCCCTTCAGCTTGGAGGGTAAACCTTTACCTTGCTCCAGCCCTCCCTTCCCTTCCCTTACCTCACCTTACCTCACCTTACCTCCCTCACCTTCCCTCCCGTTCATTCCCTGAGGTGGGACCGTGATCGGTGCCTCTGCTTGTAATATAATCTTACCCCAACACACCCGCTCCACACCCGCCCCACACCTGCCCCACACCCCCCACACCCTCCTAACACCCAAAGTCTCCACCTTCCTTCTTTTCTGAAGACTTTTTTCGCTGCTGAAGTCATCGGCGGATTTCCCAAATGTGAGATTTTACCTCCTGTAGAATATTGGAACAATATTTTGATTCCTTCTGCTCAGGTTTTACCCGCGTAAGTCTTCAATGAGTCTAGTGGCTGATTTGTCCAGCGCCTGGGACGTCCGGACAGCTCCCGGTTTGGTCCGGACAGCTCCCTGTTTGGTCCGGACAGCTCCCTGTTTGGTCCGGACAGCTCCCTGTTTGGTCCGGACAGCTCCCGGATTGGTCCGGACAGCTCCCTGTTTGGTCCGGACAGCTCCCTGTTTGGTCCGGACAGCTCCCTGTTTGGTCCGGACAGCTCCCGGATTGGTCCGGACAGCTCCCTGTTTGGTCCGGACAGCTCCCTGTTTGGTCCGGACAGCTCCCGGTTTGGTCCGGACAGCTCCCTGTTTGGTCCGGACAGCTCCCTGTTTGGTCCGGACAGCTCCCGGATTGGTCCGGACAGCTCCCTGTTTGGTCCGGACAGCTCCCTGTTTGGTCCGGACAGCTCCCGGTTTGGTCCGGACAGCTCCCTGTTTGGTCCGGACAGCTCCCGGATTGGTCCGGACAGCTCCCTGTTTGGTCCGGACAGCTCCCTGTTTGGTCCGGACAGCTCCCTGTTTGGTCCGGACAGCTCCCTGTTTGGTCCGGACAGCTCCCGGTTTGGTCCGGACAGCTCCCTGTTTGGTCCGGACAGCTCCCTGTTTGGTCCGGACAGCTCCCTGTTTGGTCCGGACAGCTCCCTGTTTGGTCCGGACAGTATTGGTATGATGGCGTCCACGCCGGTATGAGCGTGGCTACTAACTGGATGGGTGACCGTTGGGGGGGGGGAGGGACACGGGTCTACGAGTTGAGGGGACTGGTAGCTGGGTTTATTTTGAGATAGTCAGGGTCCTTCGGGGGTCGAATCCCGATGGTTCTGCTCTTGTGCATTGATGATGGAAATGTATCACCCCCTCCCCCCCACCACCCTCCTCATCACCCCCTCCCTCCCCCCACCCTCATCACCCCCTCTCCCCCCCCCCCTCATCACCCCCTCCCCCCCCCCCCCCACACCCCCCTATTGACTCCTCAGAGAAATGAAAAATTCTATCACGTTTTTACGACATTGTGGGGAACCACAACACCTCACCCCTGGTATACCTGACCCCCTGGTATACCTGACCCCCTGGTATACCTGACCCCCTGGTATACCTGGCCCCCTGGTATACCTGACCCCCTGGTATACCTGACCCCCTGGTATACCTGACCCCCTGGTATACCTGACCCCCTGGTATACCTGACCCCCTGGTATACCTGTATGTATACTGCGCAATACATACCTGGGCTGGTTCAGGTGTGGAAGGTGTGGAGAGTCTGGGAGTGGAGGGAACACCGCACACAAGCTGTTCAGTCTTAGTGTCTTCTATTGGGCCTGGGAGGACCCCTCACGTCTGACTTCTATTTGGAGTATTCTCTGTGTACTCACCTAGTTGTGCTTGCGGGGGTTGAGCTCTGGCTCTTTGGTCCCGCCTTTCATCTGTCAATCAACTGGTGTACAGGTTCCTGAACCTACTGGGCTCTGTCATATCTACACTTGAAACTGTGTATGGAGTCAGCCTCCACCACATCACTGCCTAATGCATTCCATTTATTAACTACTCTGACTCTAATCAAATTCTCTCTAATGCCCTCGGCTCATTTGGGTAATAGAATTACACCAATACGCCTTTGTTAATGTATCTTTCGTGCTAAATAATGTTTCGTTATCTACGCTGATAATTTTGTTTAGGAATTTTGTAGGTGGTGATCATGTCTCCTGTCTTTCTGGGACGTGAAGGTTAATTCCAGTAGAATTACCTCGTAGCTCTTAGCTCTCAGTTCGGGTATTGGTCTGAGGTCGATACCTATGAACTCTCTGACAATACCCGCACAAGAGTACCCGCGCCACAATACCCGTACCACAATACCCGCGCCACAATAAAGCCACACTGCTCCGTACCCACACCACAATACCCGCGCCACAATACCCGCGCCACAATAAAG